ACTAGGGACATGCCAAGGGAGTCCCCCTGCCAGCATTCACACACAGTGGAGTTCACAAGAGCTAGGAAGTGTTCCCACTAGAATGGTGGGGATAAAGGGAGACTCAGGTGGGCTGTGCTCTACCTGACACTCCAGTCTTCCCTCTGCTGCACAGTGTTCCCTCTAAGCTGAGTTAGTGTGAGCTAGCTCACAGGTTTTTAGCCTCCGGCTCAGACATTTTTGTCTTAGCTCAGGAAGGATGGCCCCAGAGCAAACTGATTTATGCCGTAGCCAAATCACCTGCTCACAACTTAAATGCCAGCAGCTCACCAAGTAGAATTGCTCACAGGACTCCATAGCGCAGAGGGCGCATTGCTCCCTATGGAGTGCTATGTTCCCGAATGCTGAGGGCATCCCAGCCATCAATTTATTTAAGTATATTTTTATCCTGCTCTTCCTACAAGGATCTCAGGGTGGCAGACAATTGCCCTCGCCTTTATGCTTTACCCTTACAGCAGCCCGGTGAAATAGGTTAGCTTGAGAGTGATGGGCCCTAAATAACCCAGCATGGCTGAGTGGAGGATCTGAACCTCGGTCTCCAAGGTCCTCGACTCCAGCATTCCAGCTGCAGCACCATGCTGGTGTCACTTTTGGAATCAACAGTGCTGGCAATTAAGAACGTGCATTTGATATGTGTTATCACTGTTAAAAATCCAGTGAGCTGTGAAACAGATGAAATGATTGTCTGATCAATGATGTAGGTCAACTTGAGACCAATGCTCCCTCTAAGCTGTGGAGTCTTGTGAGCAAAAATTCTACCTTGTGAGCTACTGCCATTAAAGTTGTGAGCGAGCAATTGGGCTACTGCATACATTAGTTTGCTCTGCAGCCATCATTCCTGAGCTCAGACAAAACTGTGTGAGCCAGAGGCTAAAAAACTGTGAGCTAGCTCACACTAACGCAGCTTAGAGGGAACACTGCTTGAGACCAATGGTCCCTCTAAGCTGTGGAGTCTTGTGAGCAACAATTCTACCTTGTGAGCTGCTGGCGTTAAAGTTGTGAGCCAGCGATTTGGCTACTGCATACATTAGTTTGCTCCGTAGCCCTCCTTCTTGAGCTAAGACAAAAAGGTGTGAGCCGGAGGCTAAAAAACTGTGAGCTAGCTCACACTCACTCAGCTTAGAGGGAACAGTGCTTGAGACGTGATAGTTGCTATAATAATGAAATTAAGAGTGATTTTTGAAGTCATTTCAGACATCTATTACTTATCTGAAATTCAGCTTTTTTGCTTCCTTTTCATTCTCCCCAAGTGAGAGCTTCTCAATCAAGTGTTGCACTCTAGAGCAGCTACTGCTAGGCTACCTTTCTGTCTCATCCAAGCCTTATATTTATCAGTTCCTAGCTTGGGGAAGATGTTGGGAAGCCCAGTTATCCCCACCCACCATCTCATAAGCCAAGATTCTCAACAGAGAGGTAACAGCAAGCCAAACTTGTGATTTACCATCTGTCAGGAGGCCTGGATTCAGGACGAGAAACCAGAACACAAATAAAAATACTAGTCCTCATGCCCAAGCCTATTACCACCACCTTCCTTTTTGGAGAAGGGGCTATCCTGGGAGTCCTCTCTCCTCCACCTTCTCTTTGCTTCTATCTTCCCAAGGTACAAGAAATACAGAATAAAACCCTATTTAACTCACCAAGCCAAAATCTGCAGCTGGCTGAGGAAACCAGGCCTCTGTTACAACTGTCTGCATCTGTGGAGATGTTCTATAGTCTAATGAGACCGTCAGAATTTTCCCTTAAACATATTCTCAAAAATGGCATTAAAAATTAACCGCTGTTGACGTCTTATTGCTGGCAGAAAAGTTTGAATAATTTGACTGAGGTTTTGGAGGGGCTATAATTGAGCTTCTAAAGGGGCACCATGAAACCTTTGCCCACACACTGGACTTCCTCTTTTTCCCCTGTTGTTTTTCTTGCCTTATTTACTTCATCTCAAAATCCACAAATTTGGTTTTTCAAACTATATACACACAAGGGAATTGACTTAGTGGATCTTGCAGAGATTTATTTGACCAAACACCCATCATTTTGTCTTATTAGTATTTGTTTGCTAAACGTATTGGTCACTTGTCTTTTCAACAACACTCAGGCTGAAGCAAAAGCTGTAGAGGCATTCAGCAGTCCAGGCTATAAAAGAAATCTGAAAGTACTTCCTCAGGCTTGGGAGCTAGTGAAGGCCTCAACAGCTGTCCTGAAATCAGGGCAGTGGACTCATACAGATTGGTGCTGGGAGTTCTGTGAATGGTGTTTCTTTCCCCCCAGAAAACTGGACCTAATTGGGTTTGGGGCCCTGATGTGAGGGAAAGGGGATTAAGCTTCTTCCCCATGCCATTTTTTTGCCATGAAGTGGGCCCACAGAGCGCCTATTGGCCCCAGTGTAACAAAATAAGGCCTGTATTAGTACATGTTTGTTTTCCTACTGGGGCAAATTAACAGTTCACAAGAACATATTCAGATTGGGAAAATGGCAGGAAGGAAATATCTCTCTCTCTCACACACCAGTCCACGCTGACCCACTGTGTGTCTGAGGGGTCTTTTTTTAGGGGGGAGATCTGTGTGCATCTCTCAAACTATTTGAGCCCCCAGGCATATAAAGACAAAGCGAAGAGCAATTCTAAGCAATTCTACTAAACTGTATTCATTGCGGCTTCCTCCCAGGAAAGGATTCTTAGGATAGTGCTAGTGAGAAACATTTTTCATAAACAAACCATATGTATTGTTGCCCCCGACTGCTATAGAAATTTGGGCTTCATTCAGAATATCTTGGTCCTATACAGCAGAAGTGGACAAAGATATTTGAATCCCAAAGTTATATAAAGTGTTTGAATAAGTAAACCACAACGAACAATACCAGAATTAAAGAGGGAAGTAATGTGTTATTGAAGAATACAGTTTATTATTACGTGATTCAAATATTCTCTAGTCATGGAGTGCAACGATCCCTTGTGGGTTGTTCCTGAATGTAAAAGTGAAATATTCTCTTTATAACTTTAGCTCAGGCACACAACAAGAGGTAGAATAAAATATGCCCACCAGAGAGACATAGAAATACAGATCAACAAAGCAGAAGCAAAATTGCACCATACAAATTCGATGGATTAAATTGTAAACAGCTGGCCAACTGCAGGGTAAATGGCTTTGTAGTACTATGATATTAAACAAATGAATAATGCAACTCCTCTAGTCAGTCCTCTCAAAGCATAGAACAGAGAGGAATAAGTCCATGATTAGGATAGCAATGAATAAAATTGTAAGCGAATAATCTGATTCCCTTAGTCATTTGTTCATAGATTGTTGGCATTGCTATTTCACTATCTCTCTCTCTCACACACCAGTCCACGCTGACCCACTGTGTGTCTGAGGGGTCTTTTTTTAGGGGGGAGATCTGTGTGCATCTCTCAAACTATTTGAGCCCCCAGGCATATAAAGACAAAGCGAAGAGCAATTCTAAGCAATTCTACTAAACTGTATTCATTGCGGCTTCCTCCCAGGAAAGGATTCTTAGGATAGTGCTAGTGAGAAACATTTTTCATAAACAAACCATATGTATTGTTGCCCCCGACTGCTATAGAAATTTGGGCTTCATTCAGAATATCTTGGTCCTATACAGCAGAAGTGGACAAAGATATTTGAATCCCAAAGTTATATAAAGTGTTTGAATAAGTAAACCACAATGAACAATGACAGAATTAATGAGGGAAGTAATGTGTTAATGAAGAATACAGTTTATTATTACGTGATACAAATATTCTCTAGTCATGGTATGCAACGATCCCTTATGGGTTGTTCCTGAATGTAAAAGTGAAATATTCTCTTTATAACTTTAGCTCAGGCACACAACAAGAGGTAGAATAAAATATGCCCACCAGAGAGACATAGAAATACAGATCAACAAAGCAGAAGCAAAATTGCACCATACAAATTCGATGGATTAAATTGTAAACAGCTGGCCAACTGCAGGACAAATGGCTTTGTAGTACTATGATATTAAACAAATGAATAATGCAACTCCTCTAGTCAGTCCTCTCACAGCAGAGAACAGAGAGGAATAAGTCCTTGATTAGGATAGCGATGAATAAAATTGTAAGTGAAGAATCTGATTCCCTTAGTCATTCGTTCATAGATTGTTGGCATTGCTATTTCACATGGCATTTGGAAAGGAAAAGAAGCAAGAAAATAATTTAATCCAATCTTCTCACAAAAGAGGATGGAGAGGCTTTTTATTATGTAGGTGATGAAAGAAAATGAAAGATGGTGGAGTCTGACTTAAGCCACTAACGAATCGTTGTCCAATGTCGTTGCCTTTATTATTTCACCTGGAATTGGGAAAGAAGGCTAGTTAGTGTTATTCTAGGGGAAATGTTACACAACTTCATTTGCAACCTCTTTGTCATATGGTTCACCATCACCTTTTGGCGATATGTTCCAGCGGCATAAGGAGTCATTCATGAAGTACAGCTGAGAGATTAGGGGTTGGTGTTGACAAATTCTATGTTGACCAGTCTAAATTAGGTCCATCTACATGATTCAAAATTAATGGCCTGGATATGCATCGTTGCAAAATATATCTCCCTTGTTGACATGTGTCTGTCCTCTTATAGAAACATAAAATTTCACAACATATTGCTCAACCTTGGTCTGGCCCAACCTGTGAAGACCACTGGCACCAAAAGCAGCTTTTGCTGTCTCCTCTTGTTTCTTAGTTTCCCTCCCTTCCCCCAAAAACCCAAAGAATGGCTATTGGCCCACGAAGGAATGCCTAATAATGTTCTTTCAATTCCACCCCCTTTCATAAGCCGTTAATTTTACCTTGATGACAGTCACGGTTGCGCTGTAGAAAAGGCTCACAAGGAAGCAGCAGAGAACAGAGAGGAATAAGTCCTTGATTAGGATAGCGATGAATAAAATTGTAAGTGAAGAATCTGATTCCCTTAGTCATTCGTTCATAGATTGTTGGCATTGCTATTTCACATGGCATTTGGAAAGGAAAAGAAGCAAGAAAATAATTTAATCCAATCTTCTCACAAAAGAGGATGGAGAGGCTTTTTATTATGTAGGTGATGAAAGAAAATGAAAGATGGTGGAGTCTGACTTAAGCCACTGATGAATCGTTGCCCAATGTCGTTGCCGTTGTTATTTCACCTGGAATTGGGAAAGAAGGCTAGTTAGTGTTATTCTAGGGGAAATGTTACACAACTTCATTTGCAACCTCTTTGTCATCTGGTTCACCATCACCTTTTGGCGATATCTTCCAGTGGCATAAGGAGTAATTTATGAAGTACAGCTGAGAGATTAGGGGTTGGTGCTGGCAAATTCTATGTTGACCAGTCTAAATTAAGTCCATCTACATGATTCAAAATTAATGGCCTGGATATGCACCTTTGCAAAATATATCTCCCTTGTTGACATGTGTTTGTCCTCTTATAGAAACATAAAATTTCACAACATATTGTTCAACCTTGGTCTGGCCCAACCTGTGAAGACCACTGGCACCAAAAGCAGCTTTTGCTGTCTCCTCTTGTTTCTTAGTTTCCCTCCCTTCCCCCAAAAACCCAAAGAATGGCTATTGGCCCACGAAGGAATGCCTAATAATGTTCTTTCAATTCCACCCCCTTTCATAAGCCGTTAATTTTACCTTGATGACAGTCACGGTTGCGCTGTAGAAAAGGCTCACAAGGAAGAGGATGATGATGGTGGAAAAGTTGGATGAGATGTTTGAGAGTCCTTCATCATCATCAGTGGCTACAATCCCATCAAGGTAGGCTTTGAATGATAAACAGAAATTACTTTTTATAACTTTAGAGAAAAGGAAATATCTCAGTGTAGTTGACATAGAAAACAGCAGAGGATAACATTAGGAGCTGTTAAGAATAGGAACGGGTAATGGGAAAAGCGCATTTTGACAGGCAACAGAATTTTTTTTTTTGATGGACAGCAGTCAAGTCTTGACAATAGTAAGTGATTAGAATTAAGCAAGGGAAAATTATTTCTTGACTTGCTGGTCAGAAATTCTGCACCTGTGGTATGAATGAGTGCAACAAATTAAGAGAATTGTTGACATTTCAGTATATGCCTGGGAATTAAAGTGATAGGGAGCTGGATGCTATATGGAGGAGCAAAATACTTAAAACTATGGATGGTTCCACTCCCATCCTTTGCTTGTTTGGGTGGTATGGTGATTTATTGGCATATATCTAACTGTAGTGCAACCCATGAGTTGAGCTCCCCAAGGTGCATATTTATTATGAGTTTTGTATGGCTAAGCGCCCCCCCCAAAGGAGGTCAAGAAAATGTCTCCATCCAGCGTTGTATATTGTTACGCCTTAGACTCTCTTTAACAATTGTCATTCCAATATAGATGATTTTGTGTAATATATGAAGCATGAACTTCTTGCCAGGATTCTATAAAACTCTTCCAGCTTGTGAACATGGAGTGTATCCTGATGTGGTTTTGAGGGGCAGTGAGGACACTATAGTGGTGAAATTCTGGTCAAATTATATGTGATATTGGGGATCCATACCGGCATCTCCAAGACATGTAATTTAACTGCAAAGTACAGTTGAGGAGGTTCAGGGGGTATGGGTTAAGGCTAAAAGTTCATAAGTTTTGTATAAACTCATGACCACCATTTTAGGGTCAGAATTGTCAACTCAGATAGGCAATGGCTCTCCAGCTTCTCAAGCAGAGGTCTTTCACATCATCTGCTTTCTGATCTTTTTAAACAGGAGATCCCTGGGATCTACCATGCTGGAGGCAGATTTTCTACCCTGGACCACGGCCCCTACCACCTTCCCAAACCTGATGCCCTCATTCTATTTCCCTGATAAAAATGGCCTTCCTGAGTTGCTTTAAGCCGCAGTAGGGAGTAGCGCCAGAAACTTATATTGTGCCTGTCTTTTTCCATATAAGGCTTAAAGTAGGGCGGGTGTGTGTGTCTGTTTTCATTTTGGGAAAATGGCATGGGCGCGTTAAATTTAGCTTCCCCAGCACTGCAGTCTCCATCCATACTGGGCTCCGCCATGACTGTTTTGTAGTTAAACTGCATAAATAGAATTCCAGTCAGAGATCTTTAATATCATGTATAGCGCCAGAGGGACGAAGAGGATATCACATTTTCCCATGTGTGAGTTATTTTATCGTGACACTCAGAGGTCGATTCGGGGGGGATCGCAGGGGATCGCAGTTCCCCCGGGTGAGGTGTGGGGGGCGGGGCACATGACGCAGCCCCGCCCCCTGCTTCCGGCCGCCCCGCTTCCAGCCCTCATTCAGCCCGGAGGAGGCAGGAGAAGAGGGAGGGTAAGTTGCTTCCTCCCCGCCTCTCCCCACCCCTGCCTGCCTGGGGCCAGGGAGGGCCT